GCCAAGTCTTAAGGGACCTCTGGAAGCTCAACAGTGACGTTCCATACCTTCCCCATGGTATTTCCATTTCCTACTTCCTAGCAGTGACTTCATACGTGGAATCCTTGGTGCTTTCTGAGCTTGGTTGTTTGGTTGCAGACGTTTCATTACCCAACTAGGTAACATCATCAGTGCAAGTGAGTGTGGGGTTTTCTTCCTGTTTATATACAGTAGCTTGCCCTGCCAGGGTTGGTGGGGATATGGTTTTCTCCTTGGTAGTTTCTTGATTAGGGTATTGTTTTCAATCAAGCAGACAAAAATCAAGCAGAAAACAATACCCTAATCAAGGAACCCCACACTCACTAGCACTGATGATGTTACCTAATCAGGTAATGAAGCAAGCAACCAAGCTCAGAGAGCACCAAGGACTCCACAGTTCAACCCTGAACTACATATATTCTCTTTTATTGGAATGACTTAATATTCCCTGGCCACTTAGCCTGCTCAGTGCTTGACAGCTGTCAACTCTGAGGCTGGTTTAGGTCATTTCTCTGGCTGTTCTGATTACAGAAGTATTTGCGCTTGGAGAATTAAATTTAACAGTTCACTTATTGGATGATGACAGTACAATATGTAATAATTGGTAACTTGCTGTGGCACTGTGAATAGCTAAAGCCATTCTGTTTAAGTGAACAGTTTGGCTATTTTGCTTATTCATACACATATATAAATACAGTATTATTACATCTGGAATTAACCAAAACCATATAGTAATCCTTTTCCAAATCTTATGACATCCCCCCAGTTGTGTGGGATTGTAATTCCTCTCATCCCTCCAGCCCTTTGTTGTAATCCAGTATGCTGCGTGTATTTGGTTTTAATCATGTTTTTTAAATGCCCTTTTTACCCCTCCAGATTTAATTTCCGTAGTGCGAGTCTCCAGAAAGAGAATTATTAAAATGCAGGGAAAATCTGCTGTAAGCCATTCTGAATCTACAGGACAGAGTGGACCCATTTGTTATAATGCTGAGTGGCACTGATTTCATTAGGGAACTAAATATTCTTAGGGCCACCTTTGAGGATGAAAAGGTTTATATTTACATTACATACTTTTTCCAAGAATCTCAGGTTAACATATTTGTTTCCCAGCCAACACGCTCCTTGATACTCGTAACAATCCTTTGAGACAGATGAGGCCAAGGAAGGAGTGAATAGTACCAGATCGTTTAATGAATGTTGTGACTGAGTGAGAATTAGAAGTCAGTTCTCTCAGTCATAGACTGCTATTCTAACCACTCTTCCCCATTAACTGACACTGGTAGGGAGAGGAAGAGGTATTGTGTCATATGCTGAAGCTAACAGTAGTTTAAAGGTTTCATTTAATGGGCTGCCTATGCGTGTACAAAAAAATTTGAGCATCCTTTGATTATGACCGGTGTCAGGTGCCCAGTGTGGACCTACTGGGATACAACAGATGCTGAGCTATGCTATTCCAAACTCAGGGGCTGCTTACAGGCTTCCTGCTGACATCCCGACTATTAAACTGTTCATTGTGCCTTTTTTTCTTCACAGCCTTGAAGAAGCGCCTGGTGAAGTTGGTGGTCAATTTTCTCTTTTACTTCCGAACAGATGAGGCTGAGGTAATGGTAGTTAGTAACTGTGTTGTAAATGTAATATGAACTGCACCTTAGTTACTAGACTTAAGTGGTTAATACATCTTCATTTTTTTATTGGGTGGTCACTAATCTTGGCATTCAGATTTTAAAAAATATAAATATCCCAGTATTTGGCCACCATTTGGGACAGGGGAATCTGTGGCTCTTCAGATAATGATTGGTCATGCTTGCTGGGACTGGTAATTTAGAGTCCAAAATATCTGGAACAATAAGGTTGCCTACTCCTATCAGAAAACCAAGAGTTGGAATGGGCTTTTAAGTTCAATCTGGGCCAGTTCAAAACATTTTGAGGGTTGTGAGGGGAGTGGTTGACACAGCGAACTAACCACAGACCCTAATTTGTACAATATACTAAGCTTATTTTTGTTCTTTGTGTTAGGTAAATATAGCATTATTACTGAATTGGGTGTCTCTGGGAGAGGTATCAAAAATGTGATTAAAGCCCTGTTCCCCATTACTGTGCATTGTAACACATATTAAAAAGAGGTGGGGCTTCAATCATATGGTTGTGGCTGCCATCCTGACTTTTTTGACCCCCCTCCCCTGTACCAAATAATTTATTTAAGGAGCATATAATTTCCTTTTACATTTATAAATTCTTCTCCAGCAGCTTTCAGTGTAAATGTAAAAAGAACATCCCAGAATGAACTGATCATTAAATATTTCCATCTTAATTGAAAAGCAGATCTGATTCTCTCTCTCCCTCTCCCCCCCCCCCACCTTATTTCATTCTCCCTCCCCCTCCGGGGCTTTTTTTGTGATTGTCGCAGA